TGGAAAATATTTTATTTATTGTTATTAATGATTTTATTGAATGTTTCTCAATATTCAGAGAATAATTTGACTCAAATTTGACAGCCATGCTATTAAAGACCAATTTTTTATTCAACTTTTGGGCGTATTTATGCGATTTCTTTTTCGGAGTTATGAGTTACCAAAGTAAAGAAGTTACTGCTGACTTTAAAAGTTAATAACTCATGAACAAATGATTGTACAAAATTCTTTCAAGTATCATTAAAAAAGTTAAAAGAATTCTTTTGAAAAGACTTGACTGTTTGGGAAAAAAGTATTTCCATGTTATAATTTTTTTTTTTCGAACAATGTAAAAAAATTGAATAAAAAATTACTGCTATTCAATTTGTTTTTATTTTTGAAAACGCGGTTGAATGGTTAAAATTTCGATAGATTTTCGTTTAAAAGTACTCTTCAATAACTCTTTAAAAAATTCAAGTATTTATTTTTTTTGTTTTTTATTTTCAGTATCAATTTAATATTTAAACTTTTGTTTTTTAATTTAATTCAAACAAAAGAAACTATTTTTAAGTATTCAAAAAACGTATTATCTAATTAAACGCTCTCGATATTGATATTTAAATTTAATAATCAAGTATTTAGATGGATCAGGATCATTGATACACCAAATTGGGGAGATTTCGGATAACTAATTGATTAAATTAGTTCGATTAGGGCAAATGCACTAATTTGCCCCAAAAGACTGCAAGTTGGTAGATAATGGAAGGAATATTGATTTACAAAATAGTTGGCTCAACAATGATTAACGTAAATTGAATTAATCAATACTGAAACCACAATATTTAATTTACCATTCTCATTTTTTCAATGAAATAAAATAATTTAAAAGTAAAAAAAAAATTCTAGAATGACATTTAATCTCTCTTCACAACATTGCAAAATATTCTCTTCATCAGATAAATAATTTTGCTTATTGTAGTTAAAGTTTCATGCAAATAGGCGAGAAATTATTATTCTACAACCAAGCATGAATAGAATTCAAATATATAAAAGGAGTGATCTATTGGGATGCAAAGAGTGATGCTTGAGGATGATCAAAATGGACGGACTAATCAGACACATAAAAGAAGTGCATTGAGGAAGTTATATATACAAGAACTGAAGAAAGAGTAAAAAAGGAATACTGAAAGCAAAAAAGATATATTGCTGATGCACTACAATATGGAAAAGGTAAAGCTACTTTCAGGGTGTTATTCTTTAAAGGCGATTGCGAACGAATACCATTTATGGCATAACAAGTCTTCTATTTCTTTTTCAAACTGGTTTCAAATATGTTTCATGATGTTCTTCATTTTACGTTTCCCATCTTCGACAAATCAGTCGAATTTTTAAAACGATTTAATGAAGTAAATGTACATATATAATAGCATAATAATAATGTGAATAATATTATGAATGACTACTTTGTGGTCTCAGGCAAATGTTGGTGAAGATACAAGAGTCTGTTGGTTGGCGTGCGAAAGACCACGGAAGCACCTGCGCCGCCGAGAATGTCCAGTATGAAACGGGTCCCCGGGCGACGTTCCAATGTGCTCTCTCATGTATATATACGTATCTTTTATACATGTATCTCTTTCTACACATTTTTTTATTCTATTCTTACATTTATACACTCTCTACTCGGGGACGCGTGAATATATACACTTGTATGCGAGTAAAACGTGCGTGGTCGGGAGAGACAGACCACGGCATAGGTACTGCAGACCGCGTGGCAGCCGCGGGTTTGCGAGCGATTTATTTATACGCGGGCGCGTGACTTGAGAAGAGAAAAGAGAATCGAGAGGCTTCAACTCGCCGCTATTTGACCAAACGATGCCTCGTCAGCTTGCATATATTCACTACTATAGGCTTTTTAAATATTCTATTCAACCTTTATAATAAAATAATTAATCATTGATGTATGGTTAAAAGTCATACACTTTTTATTCATTCTTTATATTTTCTCTTTCATCATCACCTTTATAATTCTGTGCTTGTTGATGTATTTTTTTCGCCTTTTTTTCGCCTGTAGTATTTTTGTTATTATTATTATTATTGTGAATTAATTTTATTTCATGTTTTTAATATTTCTATAACATAGCTTTTGATATGAATAAAGTGCATTATTCAGTCATGGGCATAATGGATAACTTTATAGACTCCATCACTAGCGGAAGAATTTTAATGGATATTTATTTTTGCAGAACGATATTGTGCAAGTTTCAAAAATAGGCTACATGATGCATGACTCTAATATAACTAATAATTTATGACATGTCTACTTCTTTTGAGTTTCAGATGGCATGTATCTCGAAGAAGAATGATTATTTCTACTTTATTTTTTGTCAAACTCTTCAAAGATTATTTTTTTTAAATCTATAAAAAATTTTCTTTAAATTTATTCTTAGGGTATTTTACATGAAATTTTTATTAATATTCAATTATGAAAATGTTATGAAATATTTTCAATAAAGAGATGATATATTTTCTTTAAAAAAACACTCTACCATGAGAACAGAAGAAAAACGACAATAAGATTTTAATAAGACTGAATGATCATGTTAAGAGCTCATTGAATCTCAAAGTAAGTTTTTTGCTTTTATTAGAATTCATAAGATCTTTTCAACATGGAATAATATCTTCGATTGTGATACTTTCTCCTTTATATCAAAGCCACTGTTCCGAAGATGGCATCGAAATTCTTCTAAATAACAGACAATTCTTCAAATTCTTCCACCAAGTTTGCGCCTATTTAGTGGTTGACCTTTTTTTTATTTTTATTTTGACTAACAGGTTCTTTGCATGTTGTGCGTTCAACACGGAACCTGCTGTGTCCCGCTGTGCGTGTATAATTACTTAATTAAAATCCAAAGGATGATTTCTTTTCCTAACAGAAGTGAGTTTTCAAAAAAATTGAAACTATTCCAACTATTATTATTTATTATCATGTTGCTACTTCAATCGATGTCAAATAATCTCGGAAATGTTTGAAATCTTATTCATTCCATGGGCAAATTTTTTCAAGATTTCCGACAACTCTCTAAAAATCAGGGAATTGTTTTTCTCAGATATTCGCAGAGATCAGGAAAGTACTGTTTCACTAAGAAGAATAGCGTTTGGCTTTCGGCAAACCAATAAATTTCATAGGATGGCTCGGAAAATACGATAAGTGCTGGTCGACGAGAGATCGAACGATTCAAAAAAAGGTATAAAAGGGTGAAGAGATGTTGTCACCCTTGAGAAAGAGGTATAAGATTGTGAATTCCAAAGATTGTGAATCCATCCAACATAGATGGTATCACGAATTCCAAAGAAATCGAGCAATCGATTCAAAAGAATTCTCACGAGTTTCAACCTTTATTTTTTAATATACATTTTTATTTAAATAGTTTTTATTCATTTATTCTATGCCTTTTGTTCGTTTGTTGAGTACTTTTCCATGCAAATTGAGAAAATACCATTGACATATTTTCGCTTTATTTCTATATACTGTATAACAATATCTATCTATAAATGTTAGCAAGCAAAAAAGGCACGAACGAGCATAAGAGAAAGAGAAAACTGATGACGTCAAGTAGCAAAAAGTATCCAATTTAAAATGTAAATTACCACGAATATCTGGCGCTTAGTCGGGCGATGAAATGCGAACGAAATATCCGCGAAATTAAAATGTAATTTAATTCGTCGAGACGTATATAAGCTTTACTTCGTCTCTGCGTCAGTATTTTATTTATTTTTTTGTATATCACTTTTGCATATTTTTTATTTGAGAATTGCACATCGTTAAATCACATCAATTCCCTGATCCGAGGAAATGAGAATTTAGTAAAACGTTTGGAACATATATGTCAATTCTAGCCAATTGGAAAATTGATTCCTGGTAAAATGTCAATTTAGAAGTTAAAGGATCCAAAGCTACATTTACATTCTCTACATCGACATGTGTCTGAATAAAATAAAATAGAAAAAAGATATTGAAGTATTGAAACTCTCAAGTAGTCAAGCTTTCTGTAACATATATTTACTTTTTTATGAATTGCAAAATTTTTATCTCGTAAAACATGTCGTCTTTTATTTTCTACTTGATATCTTATTCATACAAGACTTTTCAATACTTGTTCTATCGATTTAAAATGATTTTGGAGGGTTACTTAGTTTTCTCATCCCTTCATTCTTTTGACTTAAGAGATATACGGCTTCAGGATATTTTGACATAATATACAGCTCGTGGCGTCAAATTAAAAATACGCGTTAGGGTGAGAGATGATGTTGAGAAATTAACGAGCAGGCTCGATCGACCTCAGTCAGAATATTATACGTGTTAAAATCCCTTCTCTGAGTCGTTGATAAAATTGAATAAAAAATAAATATGACTTGAAAATAATATCCCTCCCTAACCGGGAATAAAAGCATTCATAACCATTAATAAATAAAAATGAGATGTACCAAGATGTAGGTCGATAAATACAGTTCATTAGCTTTTCAACAATTAATTGACAATTTTTAATTAGCACACTGATTGCTCGTGATAACAAAAAAGCTCACGCAGAGAAAAATTGTAAAGCTGATGCGACTAGAACTGGTCGAATGGCTGGAGATATTTCCTATCTTCAAAGTAAACCCATTTCCTCTTTGGGATAAGTACACGATGGTGTGTTGTATTGATCAAAACAGGTCAAGATCGTAATTAAGTCAAGCTGTACTTGGAGTAAAACTTCATTATTTTTCTATAATAGCTGCTGTCTATATTTTGCTGACGCAGACATAATGTACTAACTGATAGTCGTACTTTCCATTATAATACCATCTTCATAAATAACTTGGTGCATTAAATGTCATAAAAATGAAATACCTTTTAATTAATGAATAAAATAAAAGGGAAGAAAATTTCTTCGCTGAAAAATTAGCAAACATTGGAAAACAAAAAATTAATTCAACTGGTAAGATGTGGATAGCTAATGAATTTTATTCTGAGCATTTACCTTTACATTCGTTGGCGTCTTTTGCAGTAGCTCGAGCCCATGGTCTATCGAAATGGAAAGGTTTGCACCTCTCGCAGTCTCTTCCAGCAGTATTATGCTTACATTCGCAAGTAACTTCTCCATCTTTTCCCGTAACACATCTCGATGCATGTCCATTACACTTGCACCTGCCGCCAACAGCAAAATCAGAAACAGCATAATGATGAGCAAGAGCAGTACCGCTTGTAGCAGTTACAATGGTAGTCGTGGGCGAAATGTCCGGTTGGAAGTTCATCTCCTGTATATCCAAAGCATCATTTGAATGCATCTCCTGAGGCGCAAGGACTTGGTGAACTGAAGGAATAACCGTAACCAAAGGATCTATTGCATGGAGTAAATTATTTTTGTGATTTTTCAATTTCTCTTCTCGTTCACGTTCTCGTTTAGTTAACTCTTCAATTCCAATATCCTCATTCAGGTCCGGTTGAAGCATATGGAGGCGATTAAAGATAACTCTAATGTCTGTGGCAGTGACCCAGTCCTGGAGAACTGGAGAGTTATCAAAATCTGCGGCTGATGGTCTTCCCTCCAAAGTACTAAAGGCAATCCTTCCAGCAGGTCCAAGGCCATCCCCGCCAGTAAATCGATGGCTATCGGTACATCTTGCTTCCTGCTCATTTGCTTTGGTGATTGTGGCTCGGTTGGGTCTTCCATAAACCCTTCGACATTGGGAAGAATAAAACTGAAAAGGTTGCCATGTTTTACCGTAGTCCATTGACTTGTAGATGGCTATTGAATCAGGCTTTGCGGCTTTTGGACAAAATTGGAGACTGACATATGTTAATTCGTATTTTTTACCTAACGATAAGGTTAAGGTAACATTATCTGGCGGCGCGTTAAAGCTTTGTGATGACACCAAAGGCTCACTTCTCCAACAAGTTACGTTGTTGGGATTGTTTAAATCTGTTAAATAGCTTGCAGGAAATCTACGTCGTGGTGTAGTATCGTCACAAACATGACAATGACTCACTCCAATACTACCACCAGGCTGCTCTTGTACGTCGCAATATCTTGTCGGTCCTCCTGTACCACAGGTTGACGATGCTTCCACCGTTTTTCCAAACGCCGCATTTACAAAATCTGGAATACATCGACGCGGACGATCTTCATCGTAACATGGATCCGATGGAATTGCTTGACTTGAAAACATTTTTGCAAACAATTCACCTCCTCCTTTCACCGAATTTACCGATAACACAAATAATAAAAATGTGTGGACCATTGTCCATGATCCCACGTTTGTTGACATTTTTTCAAATTATTCGATTGAACGTCTGTTGAACTTACTCCGTAAAATATCTATTGTTTTTTTTTCAGTTATTATTCTTTACTAACAGTTCTCCAAAACATCACATAGTCTAAGATAAAATTAATTTGCCATAAAACATCAACTTTTTCATACACTGAATAGTATTTTTTACTCCAATTGCGTTTTAATTAAAAAAATCACTTTTTTTGACCGCAAGATGGCAGCGAATGATAGCTGGTGGCGGGAAAAAATTATTTTATGTTACAAACTTCATTGGATTTAGATTTCAGGTTAACAAAAAAATGGATAATCACGCGCGTAAATTTATAGTTACAATTTATTATTGAGACACTCAACACATACTCTTTCTACGGTGGCGGCTTGCCGCGAACTGAACGTGATCACAGTGCAACTTAAAGTCCCTCCCTGAAAGCTTGACTCCCCTACCGTGGTCCTCGGCCAATCGGGCTTGCTTCCAAAGTGATCTCCCCACCGGACACGCGTTCACAAGCCGCGAAGGATCACGAGGGATGCTGCGTGTATTTTACAAACACTAAGTCACCTCTAAAGCACTTTTTAGAGACTAAAACATGCACTTCCATCTTCATTTATCCATGAAACAAAAAAAGATTTGCCTTTCTCTAATTGTTAGAAATTTTTGTTTACTCTATTGGCAACAAAAAGTGCTTTTTTGTTCTTAAATTGGCAGTTCCAAGTTTTTTTAATTGGCGGGTAGAACATGCATGAAAATTGTGGTCAAGAAATTAGAATAAAGGTTAAGAATGCGAGATAATCGGACATCCAGTAACCGCCCACAATCTGCACGCGAGAATTTTGCACCAAAGGCTTTAAGTCCTGTCGAGTGACGCCTAACGTGAGAGCAACCGTTGTGTTTTGTTCCGCAACAGACAAGGGATACAGTATAGGTATTATTGTAAGGCATTTGTTGTAAAGAGCCTGTTTTCTCTCAAAATTGGCAGGCGCAGATGATGAAAGTAACGTAAAAAAAGAAAGAAAACCAGAACAAAGAGTAAGAAGAAAATATAGAGTAGAAGGAGAATGAGAAGACTAACGAGAATAAGACAGGATCGTTTGGGTAACTGTTTGCTGCATAGCAGTCATGAGTGAGTATTTAAAAAAACAAAATAAAGAAAATATTGGTATTATTGATATAGCTATAATGATTGGAAATTTTCTTGAATTGCGATGAATAAAATTTTTTTGTTTTTTTAACAAACACGTTTTATTCTTAAATGACAAGTAAAGGGATATGATTGATGGTAGAATGACTGGAAGGTGATGGAAATCTTGAGTTCATCAAGCTCGAATGCATCGTCAATACCACACATTCATAAATCGTTAATCATTTTAGCAATCAAATTTATGCTTATTTTTAGAGATAGTTTGATAAAAATTTTCACCAGTTGATGCAAATGTAATTGCAAAATAGATTTTTATGGCTTATTAAATATATTCTATGTAATAAATTGCTTAGTTTCAAAGTAGTGTTTTCATAAATAAATCATTTTGCAATACCACCAAAATAATATTGTTTGGATTAGATGATAAAGAAAGGTAAATAATTAGGATAGGAAAAGAGTTGAGCAAAGTGAATGTTGGCATGTTAGAACTAAACCAAACTAACAGAAATGAAATATTTCTTTAGATTTAAATATCAAAACATCTTGGAAGCTGTAGGTTCTCAGAAATAACGTAATTGTGGCATTGAAGACAGGTAGTAGGAATGTGGTTTATGACTTTAAACTGTTATATGTTTTATTCTATAATGTTTTTTTTATTCAATCAGCCAATTTCCATTTTAAGCAACCCTCAAGCATCCTTACCAAATTAAAATAGCAAAAGAAAGTTATTTATCCAAAGTCTCAGGATGCAATAAAATTGTATTGAGAGGACGAATAAGTAGTCCAAAAAAAAGCATAACTATATACGGATATAAAAAAATGAAAGTTTAAAGAATAACGATGTCATTCATCTATAGTTTTCTTGCATCCGTACTTCCGGAAGAGACGTGAATGAAAATGAATCTTTTCTTTAAGATTGAGATTAAAAAATCAACTTATCGCTTTTGTGATATTACTTGGGGCATCCATTTATCGAATTAATTTAATCTGTCGGAATTAGATTCAAGCACGAGCATGAGCGTGATATCGTTCTTAAATTTCGGATTAAGTACTCATAGATGTTATATATAAACTTTTCAACTTCTACTAAAGCCTGGTAAATCATTTTCAAACCCAAAACATAAAAAAACACCTTCAAGATGTGGTTTTTAAATTCGATCAGTTTCAACCTTATCATTATTTCATGAGTGCTTTACAATAATCTCATATTATTGATTTTATCAATTACATGTGCTAAACAATTAAGCTGATGATAAATGTGTGACATGTTAAGAATGATATTACAATTGACAGAGTATTAAGCAATTATATTATATTTGATCAAATAATTTATTAAATTTTTTTGTTCTTACGTTATATTACAATATTACAAGATAACGAATATTCCGTTAAAATATTTTTTATACTTTTGTTATATTCATCTGAAAAGTACACATTGGTTTATTTTATTTGTGAAAAAAACACATTGCGGTACTAGTGGATTATATTAGCATTGAATTATTGAACAAACAATCGAGATATCAAGTAGTTAGTCACAGTTGTTTATTTGATAACTCAATTGATTTTTTCATTCATTGCTAATTCCATATTTTGTTCATTTATTTTAATATTTGTATCCCCTACAAAGCTTATTTAATTTCTAGATGTATACATATACTTTGTACCAAATACCGCATAAAGTAACGCGTGACACTCTCAGGAGAAGCTCACTTTTATATATTTACAATATAAAAAAAATTTTTCACACATCACTAATAACATGTTTCTTTTTATCATCTATTCAATTTATAGTTGATATATCATGTAAACATCAGGGCTCTACTTATGAAAGAAACATATCCATGTATCTAAATAATTAATGTATCTGTAAAAATATATGCTTGACGAAAGGAAACGATGCTTAATTAAGAGATTAATACTTTGCAATGATATTTTAATGATTATCCAGAGAAGTATCACGTATTGCTCTGGTTGTATCTGACGCAAAAAGGGGGAGTGTATCTTATTTTATCGCGTGGAATTTTCTCAATCAAATAATGCCTGCAGCATACGCAAATTTATACTAATTACCTAAATATATATATATATATATATATATATATATATATATATATATATATATTTATCTTTATAGATCTGATGTAGAAATAACTTTTATGTTGTTACTGTTATGGTACGTTATTTATTTATTTACTCATTTAAAAGATAGTTTTCTGTTACCATCTTTTGAAACCCTTTTACGCTTTTTTAAATCCCTGTAATGATGTGTAAAATATTTTTCAATTGATTTTCATTGTTTTAATTTGAATGTTGTTATTCTCCACTTTTGGCACGTGAACATTTAATCATTTTTCTAAGTAAAATTCAAGCAAAATTAACATTACAAAATTGATCAATTATTTTTTTAGTTTATTTTACACTTTGATTGATGATAATGCGTTAAAATTTTTTCTACTTGAGATGAGAGAGAAAAAGAGAAAAGAAGAATAGAGAAGGAAAGATTAAAATTAAAAAGCTTTATTTTTTTAAAATAAAATGCTTAAAAATTGGTATCCCATTTACTTAAAAAAAAATCAATTGTAAGTAATATAAATATTTATTCAATAGTTTTATCATTCAGATAAATAATAAGTATATAAATAATTAATAATGTATATAAGATAATATTTAAATATTTTTAAAATAAGATATTTTGGTACTACACGCAAGGAAAATATCTTTTTATTAATTTCCTTCTCTTTTCGATTACAGTGACACAGCTTTCATGAATTCTCTCTACCATTTTTTCTCATACCATTTTTATACCATTTTCAAATAATTTAATTTCACCCAAACGAATAGATTAAATTTAGGTTTTAAATAATAAAATAATATAACTAAAATCATTATATTAATGAAAGAATAATAAAATTGATCAATATATTAATTTAAACATTGTAATTCGTAACAAGATACCCGCTGCTCTTACTACGTACATAAATCAAAATTATTTCTGTTTTTGTTTTATTAGAATGATAGTAATAATTTAAAATATTTTACTGTTCGTAATAAATATTCATAATTTATAATAAATAATAATTAAATTAAATATATAATGTTTTTAATTCGAGCGGGAATTCATTAAATTTTGATCTTAATATTTTTCTATCTCTTGAACATTACAATTGCATTCAATTTCATTACAATAATCAGTAGCATTCCACTTTTGCTGTTTAAAAGATTATGAATCTTATATGGTATCAAAATTTACAATAATACACAATAGTGATATCAATCATACCATCTCACTGAACAGACTATTTTCGTTTATTTCTATTGAAGAATCGGCCTTTCAATGTCTTAATATACAAAAATCTCAATTGTATTTGGTTGTTCAGAAATTTTTGTCCAATAAAACAAATATAAGTTTAGTATTTCTGATAATTAATTAATTATGATGATATTAATCTACTATATCATACAAATTTTGTAACAAATGTACATTTTATCAATTGATCAACTATTTCATCAAATTCTTAATATTTTTGCTACATTTTTCATTGACCAAACATAGAACAACATCTTCTGGACAATCTAATACGCCAAAAAAAAGTAGATTAAAAAAATAATACAGTGTAGCCTAAGTTCTATTTTTAAGTAAGTATTAAATAATTACATAAAAAATTATGTACCTTTGTATAATATTTTTAAAAAAAAACATGAGGATTCAAATATTTTATAAATCAATATTTATAATAGTTTAAGACATGCAGACTACACTGTAACAATAATAATTCTACTAAGAATAAAAATAGTAGTTGTAGCAGTAATAAAGTAATAGAAAAAATGTATTTTTTTTGCAAATTATGATATTTACCATGATTAGGTGAATTGTAAAACAACAAAAAATGTAACTAAAATCTAGAATAATTGATTGCAGATATAATAGTAGGTTTTTATGAGTATAATACTTCGTGAGCTAAATAAAACGCTAATCTAGCGTCCCTCTCACAAAAGATATAAACACCTCCGGGACGATGGAAGTATGACATAAATAAAATACGTCAAAAATCTACGTAACATATGGATGTATGATTTGCTATAACTTATTAAAGTTTTTCACAGTGTTGTTTTTAAAGCGGTCAAATACGGTTGATATTCTGACTCTTGATTAAAATATGTTTATGATATTTTCATTCAAGTTCAGTTTCACTGAATTATTCTTATACATGAAAAATGTTTAAAATTTGTAAAAGACTATCTTGCAAAAAATATCTATGAATTTGTTAATGGGTTTTAAAATTCTTTTAAGCACTAAAAAATACATATTTTCGAAATTGATGTGCTATTTATCAATGAAACAATTTTATTCATTATATTTCATCTATCAATAAATCATTTTCATTTAATTTGTTTGAATAATTAATTAACATTTTACATTGTTTCATTGATTGAAATGAATTTATGTTCAGCCAACATTATTAAGAGTGAAGTTCCATTCTTTGGATATATTTCATTCATGAATGATATCAACTAATGAAGTAATTATATTGATATCATTAATTGATATATCATAGAAATGACAATTCGCTTAAAGAATATCGATGTGGAAATGCTTACAGAAAGATCAATCTTTTGTTCCAATGTCATCTGCAACATTCTACAGATTGCATTGATTTCCATAAAGGTTTATGGCAAATCGAGTCATCCAGGATTTTTCACTAGTTTCTTCCCTCGATAATCATAAACTCGCCGACAGAAAAGTACTATTTCTGATGGCGCTGCAATGGGTGGTTGTCTGTTTTCACGAGGATAATTTTGTTCACCTGGAGGTACTATTAGACCAGGGCATTCTAAGCCCTCTTCCATTCTTCGAAGATTTTTACGGTATCTAATTAATTTGAAAAAATATTATTATTTATCTTATATAATTAAGTAGTATCTATTTATAAATAAATAATGTTTAAGTGTATTTTGACAACCTACCGACAGTATTCATTAAATGTTAAAATATAACATTTGTCTTCGATACAAGCAACACTGTTGGCATCGCGATGTCGGGATGCAAACACTTCGTCTTCAGTGTCGTAATCTGTACGACCTTGTTCTGTGTGTTCTGGTCTGTAGTACCACAGTAGTGAAAACATCATTTCACCTGAAAACAACGATGACAATGTAAATAGCTGTAACAACAGCAATAATAAAGCAGTAAAATAAAAAATAAATGTAACTCTATTTAATGAGATTTTGATATCTTTTAATAAGATCTTTTATATTTATAACATAGTTAAAATTAGTTTAATAGTCAATTAAACATTTTCGAGTATACGATAGAAAATCATAACAAAACTAACTGACTTCTTTTAAAATAGTTTTAAATAGAAAAATTTTAAAGTCATGGATAAAGTTCTTTTTACTGGTGAAAAAAATAAAAGAATACAAAATACTATTTGATATTAGCGCTCACCATCATCCGGATTTTCCCACAGTGCAGCAATTTTCGCTACGAAAGGTAAATCCGCTTTTCGTGGACCACTCTTCAGCAATACACAATCTCGTGGTCGTAATACATCACCACTAATGTGCTTCATACTTGAGTAGCATCGACGAATGGCAGATTCTTCATTCTAAAATTAATTTTTATCGTTGTTATTATTATATAATACTTAATTATCGTCAACACCATCGTCGGTATTGTTTTAATTTTAAATTCTCATGCTCTATTTCCATTTACAAGATAATATGTTGTAAAGAAAAAGCATTAAAAAAAAAATTTAAAAAAAATTAAGATCGCTTAACTGTCTAAAAATATATAGATGTTGATGCATTGAATTTAATTAAGAAAATTTATCATCTAATCAATAATTCGGAATTATCAAGCATAAAGACGAAACATTATAAATATTAATGAATTTCGTAAATTAGAATCACAGAATTACAAAATATTTCTTTAAAATGAAAGAAGTTTAACTTTAATTTAAAGAAAAATGAAGAACTGAATTATATTAATTTAAACGTAATAAAAGGTTTATAAATAAAACATAAAATACAAATTTTACCGTCAAATAAACTTTGGCCTCATAAGACTCTCCTTCCCAACTCCATCCATTACTCCACTTAGGTTTGAGGAAAGATTTTTTGCTAAGACTGAAATTTTCACTGACCATAACGATATCACTGTCTACTTTTCCATTTGACTTTTTACTGCACGTTTTCTTTGTACTTTTCCTTTTCTTTTTAACTAAGGCCGCTTTTTTAATATCCTCACATTTGTCGACAACTGTTTTGGGCTTTAATAAAGTTTTTGTCTTTGAGTCCGTCCCTTTATTTTTCGTTTGTAATACTTTCGACTTAACCTGGGCAAGTTTAGATTTGACTTTATTTTTACACTTGTTTTCTTGTACATTAAGTTTATTATTTTTCGACTCAATTGTACTCGCCGTAACCTCATCAATATTCTTTGATTCCATTTTTGATACTAATTTTTCTGCTACCACTGCTTTAACTAAAGTCCTTGGAACTTTTGTTATCATTGATAATAAATTTACTGCTTTCTGTTTTTTTTTGTTAACTTTTTCTTTAGATTTGCACTTATTATCCTTTTTACAAGTCATTTGTACACTTTGTTGAATAACATTATTAATTGTTTCCATTATTGAATTATCTGTTGCAACATTCTTCAAACAATTACTAATACCATTACTAATGACATTTTTACTCGCGCCTTTTAACTTTTTCGTGTTATTTTCAATGAAACTTTTAACTTGATTTTTCTTTTTTTGACTTTCTTTTTTAAATTGTTTTTTCTTCGCCAAACAAGACTTGTTAATGTCACTCTTATCGCTCCTATTAATGTATTCGCCATTAATTGGATTTAAAACTCTGTTATCATCTTGATATTCCCTCGTGGAACCTACTGACAATGTCCTTTCATTGAGTTTTCGTTTTTTAGGATTATGTGATAAACTATCAAGAGAAAACTTTCTCTTAGTTATTTTTTGACACTTTGGTAACTCATTAATGACTATTGTTTCTGTATTATTCTGTTCATCCACTGTTTCCGGCACTGTAGGTTCATAATCTGGTTTTGTCCAATTTTCATTATTAACAACGACAACATCATTTATTTCTTCTTTAACACTATTTTGCGTTTCCAATTTATCGTCTATTAATAAAATTCCCGAATCTTTATCAATTTCTAAAATTGCCATTTGTCCTTCTTTAATGCACTGCTCACACTTAATAATGTCACACTTAAAATCAGATTCACACTTTAAATTACAATTTTCTTCTCCAATACCAACGCTACATGATTCACATTTAACATTATTATTTTCCAACTTGAAGTCATGGAGATTTTCCGTAGGCAAAGCAGGAGATGGAAGAGTAGTTTCTGTAGGTGACAAAGTTTCCATTTTAACTTCACACGTGGATGTACATGCTCGCTTTTGACAAGTACACTTGTTTAATTTATCATCCATACAAGTCCTTTCCTCCTGTAATGATAAAAAAATTATTTTCAATAAATGAACTCTAAAATAATTATGTGAATCATTTAGCTCTAGATTTTTTTTTAATTACTACAATAAAATGTAGAACAAAACCTAGCGACAATTAAATTGATTTTTTTATTTTCATTTCTGTAAAACGTTTCTTATCTAAATGAGCAAAGAAATAAATTAAAAAATATTCTCAAATCAATAATATGCTTCAGTGGTTTAGGATTTAAGACAATCGCAGCGTAAAAATTAACGAGCATGTGCAAAATGATGTACCTTTGTTCGACATTCAATCGGTTGTGTTCTGCAGTGTTCATTAGTGAGATTATGAGGTGTTGACAGAAGTTCTTGCTGCTGTTGTTGATGCTGCGGCTGTTGCTGTAACTGTTGATGATGATGTGATTTTTGGTCATGTTGATGATTTTTACTTAGATTCCGATGAGTATTGAGTTGGACGCGATCCGTGTCCCAGGCATTAGCACCATGTGGTGGCGCTAACCCGGCTAGCCCCCTCGCTGGTGAGGGGGGCCCTACCAAAGCACTGGGTGGCAATGACAGACCGGGCCCTGATGCCACTGGCGCCCCCTTACCATTACCAATAAGGGGCCCAGTATCCACGTTTTTTGGACACGATTGCATAGGACACGGGCAACCTTGGAAAGCCGCGTCTACTTAAGAAGATATTTGATTGTTAGATAATAAAAAAAAATTTCTTTAATGGCAAAGCTTTTTCACTAAGTTAATACTTACGATCTACAATCGGTCGGCTTTGGAGATATGCCGGATTAGGTGGAGGGGGTGGTGGAGGTGGTGGCGGTGGATATCCGCTATAATAAGGTGGTAATGCATATTCTCCTGGTGGTGGGGGTGGAGGAGGAGGTGGTGGTTGATATTCAACGACTCCTGGCGCTCCTGTTCCAGCACCACTTGCTCCAGTGCCACCGCCAGCTTCTGGATAACCATAGTACTGTCTGCAAATATTGAAACAGTGTTTGATGTAATTATCATGACTTTTATACGACCATTTAACGGCTAAAAAAATTTCTTTTTTCTCTTATTGTAGTTAAAAAACTTCAAGTCATATTACAAAAAAAACTGATTCACATGAGTTGTATTTTTTGATAAATTTTAGATAAAAATATCATAAAAATATTCTTTTATTACAAATTTTTTAACCTATTTTATGCATTTGGCCATTGGATCAAATTGTTTATAAATTAATCTTTTCTAGTCCAATGTCATTTTAATTATCTACTAAATTACTGCCATATGACATCATGTAAAAAAAGTAATTGTTACCTTCTGTACGTCGGAGCATATTTGTAATAAGGCGGTGGATGTGAATGAGGATGAGGATACGTTGACGGATAACAGAGTTCCTGATACTGCGGTGGAGTACCATAGTATTGAGGGCAGTAAGCTCTGTAGAAACCACCTGCTGGAAATAAAACTAAAATTAGTCTTATTAGCATGTTCATCGTTGCATCTAGTATCAGGTATAGTTAAAAGTATAACAAAATAGAATAAAGCTTGGCATTTATGAAGAAGTAAAATGAGAACATGAGATAGAAAGGAAACAAAAAAAAAATGCTCACTAGGAATAATCGATGTGGACGGGATCGCTGAACTTGCAACTCTGGACTCCGTTTTACGATACGAACGCCACGTATTACCTGAGCTGTTCACGCCGGAAGTTGTGGAAGTTGCTACCAGGTCATCTGAACTTTCTGAATTTTGAGGAGGCGTAGGTGTTGGCTCTGGTGGTGGACCTTTTATTGGAGGCAAAGTAGGAGGATGTTGAATGAGCGGACCAGCCGGCTGATAATAACCTATAATCAAATTAATTTATCAGGTTATTATTATCATGCTTCAACATAATCATACTGTTTTCATTTTTTAATTAACCCTTTGAGTTTGTTTTGCAAAATGATGCTTATAGGACAAGAGTAATATAATCATTAAATTATCATTAAAATGATATCAAAGTAAATAAGTTAAAGTCAATATTTACTTAAATACTTTATCCAATTATTGATTCAGTTCATTTTTCATCACTTGAAAGAGGTTATTTTTAAACTCTTTTCCAAAAGTCAATGAGTTTTTATTTTTATTTGATCGTAAATATTAGCAAGTTTGAGTTTCTTGGCCAACTTGCATTTTTAATAAGCTGATAATTAGTTTGTCTGAGTTAATGAACCCAAGATGGATACACAAATAAATATTTACTTAAATAGATATATATTTAAGCTCTGTAAATCTGTGAGAAATTTGATGAGCGTAGGTGTAGCAAAAATTTAATAAAAAGAAACGAGTTGGGCTTCTCAAACATAATAAATTAAGTAACTAATAAAAAGAACAAGAGAATACGTTGATATCGCCTTGATTTGGTTTCTCGTCTTAGTCAGTTTTCTGTGTTATGTAGGTATACATGAAGAGCTAGCAAAGCTTAAGGTAAAGGCCGATGGCCGAGAATAGTCTTCGCGGACACGTGGGTTGGTAGATTGTTGGTGAAAGGAGAAACGGAGGACGAGAGAGCTAAGTCGAGATTAACGAGTGGTTGACGCACTGGCGATGAGCATGTTTCACTCGCTGTTAGTTTCTACTAGCAAGAAAATTGAAGACATATAGGTATCCTACTAGAGATGTTATTTATTTTTCGTTCCGCAAAATATCAAGAGATCAACTGTGAGAGTACTTCAAGAAGGATATACAGGAAATCAAAAGCATAAGTCGGAACCGCAACGGCTCGATGGACTCAGTCAACTCTAGAATTCACTCCAAAGAGATCGACAATCTGAATGCTTGGATGCTTTTAACGGGTTTAAAATGCCTTTACTGTATTTTCTTTGGATTTTATTATTACAGATTGTTCAGATGATAAATAGTCGGATTTGTTTACTTACAGAGCATTAGCTAAATAGATACACGTCTCTAGAGTTTTACAGACTGGAAGGACAAAAATGAAGCTAAAAAGGTGAATTGAACGGAAGTGGATCACAACAAAAATATTAATGGGATTTTTTATGAAGACAACTTTGTACTTTTTTCTTTACATTTACATCTCTTTATCTCAAGACTAACTGGAGTTTTTAATTGTTTTTTTTTTTCAATTCTCGAAAGTATAACTTTTCATTAAAATATCCTATATAAATATCTAGAATAAGTGTTTCCAATGTTTTATGTAAAAAATATCCAATTAAATCATAATCTCTCTGTCTTTGTGGTTCACAACAAATTGATGGATAAATAGATGTTGGCTAATTAATTAGTGTAAGTGTCGTTCATGTTTATAAAGTATTACGTTAACTAACTGTTAAATTAGACTGACCTGTTTGCAAGTAGGGGATTAGGGAGAGACATTTAGGTAGGATGTGCTTCCTTCAAACATCAAAATCGATAACTCTATGACCGTGAATGTTATTGGCTTGTTTTAACAGTTGATTGATCTCTATATAGAGTAGATTAATTATAAATTAAATTACTCTCTTTGAATTCAACTGCTCTAATGAGGATCAAGTAGTCCAACGATAAAAAAGTATATTTATAGTGATCAAAATTACAAGTTAAAAAGATTACGTATTTAATCATAATATTTAAATACACTGTTAAGTTTATCAGGATTCAATAATATTATGTTGGATCAAATTGTATAGCAATTTAACGTAAAATTGGAATTATATGTTGGAGACTCTGCAATCTAAATGAAACAAAATCATTTTCGATTTGAAATAAAACGGAATATTATATATAACAAATTGGAGATTGATTGATGTACCTTTTCATTGTTATTTAAGAATTCTTTTTATCTCATATTTCTTCTACATTTCTATTTTATTTCCACTTGCTTCTTTTATACTTCCTCCTTTTCAATTTATAATATTACTTTTCATCATATTTTTCTGATTTTTCCATTTTAATTCCAACACAAATTGATAAAAGGTAAATTAATTTATGGTTTACATTTTTTCTCTGCATTCCATTAATGCTAACCATTCCAGAATATTGTAATAAATATGACTATTATTTTCATTGCTTCAAGCACAATCTACTTATTTATGATGCTAATAATTTTCTTTGAAGATATGGCCTCTACAAATCTCTCAATTTCATGCTAACATATGATGTATGTTAATATGACGTTAATTTTCTAAATTCCCATATGAACATAAATACCTGTTGAGGTAATTAATCCATAATTAATAGACAAGACATTTCTAGCGATGATGATTCAACAAGAGTTAGCCATAAAAAATCTAAAGCTTAGGATTATTTAGCATAAATGTTTTAGAAAAGTTGACTTTAGAATTTTAAAAACTTTGTTTGAACATTACTTTGTGTATGTTAATTATCACAATAGATAAAATAAATAAAAAATTAATATTAACAATGCTTTTAACAGTTTTTGAACTGTCAAGTATTGAAACATTTTAGTTAAAACATGATAGTGGAACAATTTTCTGTTACTTGCAACTTGCTCATGTCTCTTTTACTGTGGTTCAGTGAATTACCACTTTACTACTTGTGATCGACAAGTGTCCCAATATAATACGTGCTCGTTTACCTGACAAGCATTGAAAGTAGAGTTAAATTCAAGCTTTGCTATATAGGTACACTGACTATCCAATGCCACTAAATTCTATGAATGTTGAGTGAATTCCATGAATCATTATCAGTTGATAGATTATAGATGATTTATTGATTGAACTATTAAATGCACTTTATCACTAAATACGTTGGCTTTTAAATAAATCACGATTTAGATGAAATCAGTATATAACAATGCAATTAAAGACTCAAATTACATCCTTATGAATATACATATCTGCAGCGAGCAAGTGGAAGAGATGCTGAGTTTGCAGTATCATCAGTATTACATTAATATAACTAAGGATCGTAACTAGCCTAGATTTCTGCTCGAACGTATAGCGTTGAGGATTATAGGGCATGTACGAATCTCACTGATTGAGGTTACTCGGTTGCTAGCGAACGCCAATAGCACAAAGCAGGTCGTCGTATTACGTTCATTTCTTCATGCCAATACAATGTTTAACACAATGATATACATATTTTTTAATATTTCGCGATCAATTTTCACTTTAAATCCATGACAAATCATTTGATTGGTGATGAATATTTATTGATGAAGTCGAACGAAGATTATTGATGATTCTGCAGACAAAATGAATGTATGTTCAAATATTTGAGTAATAGATGCCAATTATGTTTATCGATAGAAATTTTGATTAAAATCTATTGAAAGAATTTGTTATGATAAAATTAATGTTTTGCTGAATTCTTGGAGCATCTAATTGTCACTCTCGAGTCAAGTCCTGATTGATGAACATGACTTTTTTAATTATCATAGAAAGTGTGTTTTTTTTATTTTTCACTTTTGTGAGTTATGATTCCCGGGTTCTGGAACAAGAAGACATTTAAATAGGATAGTAAGCAAGATCGACAAGAGTATGCCGAGAACTAAAAATACTAATTCTATTTCGAGCGAAAACCTGAGAGAAAGAGAGGAAGGTCAAGGTGTGCTAAAAACGATGAACGTTTTTCCGCAGAAAATCATATAATTTCTAACTACGATCTCTGATCGGTGAGTATATCATTGATAAGGTTGGTAATTAGTCCGTGCATAATTCTCAAAAGAAAATAATAAGCATTAAGATCTCTTGAAAGTCTTCGTTTCAGTCGTTTCATTTCATTCTTTCGTCTACTTTCTCCAGCCAGAAATGCCAACTGGTTATAGGTGACACTTACGAGCAGATTACTGTGTGTACTGAGAGCTTCGTAGAGCACCGATTTAGTTGCTCCTAACTTACTTTTGCCCATACCTCCCAGTCAATTAATCTGTTGGTGGCCTCTGGACTTGCTTTTCTCTTTTCTCTTAAATGAAATTCCGGAAATACCTAACTCCCTCACGTATACATAAATTAAGTTACTCGAAATATCCTGGATAAATCGTTTGTTTTATATTATGAGCAATTTCATTTATTCTTAGCAGATCGTGATGTTGGGTAGTTGTCAAGTGGTGACTAATAAACATACTTTACCAGAAGTTGATCACTGATTTCGATAATTGGTCAAATGATCTTTGAATTTCACTAGGAAAAGCTGGAATAAATTAATATTCATTTCATGTGTTAAGAAATTAAAACCATGAAATTTTTGCCAATGTAAAAAGATCAAAATTAATTTTTATTAATTAGTTAACAACAAAAGTGTCGTGTGTTATTATAATTTTATTAGAAAAAGTGGTCCAAGTAAATTTGTTCCATTAAAGAATAAAATTATAAATATGATTTTTTATTAGTGACCAAATATTTTAATCGAGTTAATTGATAAAATACATAGAAGCGTTTTCATTCACAAAACAATTGATATTCATATTCAGATGAAATGAATAAATTATTATTCAGAAATCAGTTAATGTAATAATGTTTATAGTTTAAAAATGAACTTGTGTTTAAATAATTTAAAGAGTAGCTGCTTTTGTCGGAAAATGATAATTTTCTAACAGCTATATTTTTCGCATAAATTATGATATTGAAGTTGTTCTCGCTGCATTTTAATATTTGAGGAGTTCATTTTGAATTTATAATTATCTTTACTTTCCACGAAGAGAACTTAACGAGAAAATTATGATCCGTTAATTTTTAAATACTTTCTTATTTTTTTTTTTTTTTGTAACGTTGTCAAGTTGAAAAGAAATAAAAAAATGTTAATACAGCTTAAAGCTTTTTATCGGCATTGCTGCACATTGTGCAATGATTTTTTTAACACTTTACAAACAGTGAGAATTTAAAAAATCATTTTCAGTTTAATT